CCCGTTCTCCAGTCAACAGGGCATCCAGCGTGCCCTTCTCGAGCACCACGTCAAAGGAGCCACTGGGGAAGCCCAGTGCCCGCACGTCCATGGTCTCCCAGCGCAGATCGGGCACGTGGGCATATCGAGCCCGCATGGCAGCCACCACTACTGATGAGCAGTCCACACTGGTCACATCAGGGAAGCCCCCAAGGAGTAGTTCGTAGCTCAGGGCACTGTTTCCACAGCCTGGGGTGAGAAGGGGTGGATGACAAAAGGTCTAGGTTAGCTTTGGTTCTCACCTCCCCAATTATCCATCCACTCTTGGCCTGTTTTCTCTCAGCTCAAACCCTCCCGTACTGAGGGAGAAGCAGCATGGTACAAGAGCATGAGCCTTAGAGTCATACAGATCTGGGCACATATCCTGGCTCTATCATTCCTGGCTGTGTGGACTAAAGCAAGTCGTTTACATACTAGGAACTTGGATTTCCTAGTCACAAAAATGAAGATAACAATACCTAGCCTACATGTAGGATGTGATGTTCTAAATTTAAAAACTGAACAGCTGAAGAGTAGGAGCTTTGAACTTAGGAGTTCAAAGATTTGGGTTCTGATATCTCTAGTCATGCAGTCATGGCAAGTCATTCAACTCAGCCTCAGTTTCCTCAGACTCAGAATGGGGATAATATTGGCATCATAATATTATTAATAGGCTAATGCTAGTATTATCCTAATTCCTGACCTCTCAGAGATCCTCTGATGATATCAGCCCTGGGAAGACTTCATGTTAGGGGTTTTTATCTTACTTTGCTTTCCAAGGCAGAATTAACAAGTGAAGGGGAAACTAAGTGGGGACACACAATGGAGATGATTCCTTGTAATTTCTTCATGTATGACTGAGCGCCACGTATTGGGTTCTGCTGATGAATAAAGAGCTTCTGCCCTCAAGGAGCTGATGCTCTGGTGAGAGGAACAGATGTGTAGTCAGAAAACTGCCACATAATGCAACGAGAGTTTCAATAGGGACAGGCTGCAGGAGCACATAGGAGAGTCCCTGTCCCCACCTTAGATGGGTGGGCCAACAGAATCGGGGGAACTGACAACCAGTCAGAGTCTTGAAGAATCATAACACTCTGGTGCGAAGTGCCCAGAAAGCAGTCCCAAAGTGGTGGAGGGTGGAGGTTAGAGGAGTGGATGTGGACCTACTGCCCAGTGGGCATGGCTTCCTTCAAAGATCTGTTGGCCTCTTCCAGGCCCTCTTGTGGTCAGTATCAGCCCAAGAACAGGCCTGGATTACAGTTCTTGGTGGCCTCACATGGGGATCCCCAGCTCTTGGGATTAGATTGCCTTTAATCCCCATTTGCCTCCCTAAGAGGATCACAGAATCAGCTGTTGGGATAGCCCTAATCCAGCAGGCAGAGCTTGGCACCTGGACAGGTGCCAGAGACTGCTGGCTGGTCCCCGGCTGCCCCTGCTTGTGTTCCTCCTCAGGCTCTGGGGCTCAGGAAGAGTACAATCTTACCTGGGAAAACCCAATGTGTGCGTCCCAACACTGGAACCACAACAGGCTCTGGGACGGGAGGTGAGGGTGGCTGAATAGGAGACTCTAACCCAGTTCAGCCTGAAATCCCACTGGGTTCTCTGACCACAATGCCTTCATCACTCAACACCTGACCTCATATGCCTGCAGAGCTCTGCCTAACTGTGGACAAACCCAAATTTCCTTCCTTCTTTTCCTTTGGTACAGGAATGGTATCTCCCAAAACAACTTTATTAAAGATGAATGGAAAATAAAACTTGACCACAGGGCCAGTTATGCCTACAAAGCAGTGATTTGGGGCTAACAACTAAGATGAGGCTTGGAACCGCCACCGCTTCCCTAGGTGAGGCCTTAGGGAAGCAGAGCTCTGGAGAACTGAGCCAGATCCAAGAACCCATCATATGGGAGCCCAGAGCTATGTGGATGCTATCCCAACACCAAGAGACTGAAGTGTAAACCAGAATATCAATTCGCTTATTTATAATAGGAAAAAATAGCCACCATGGGGTCTGGACAGTCAATCCTCTGGTCAGTCCCTTATGTCTCTATAGGAAATGCAAATTGAAGCCAAATTATAATCAGAAGATTCTACAGAGCATGGAGTCAAGCAAGAAGAGAGAATCAGAGAAGTATAATGACAGCAAAACTGGGACGGCCACATGAACTCATCTGTAATGAGGAATCTAGCCATAGGGACCAGACACACAAGTCTTCAGGCAAGGTACTCTTTCTCCGATCAGTCCTGGAGAAAGTGCCTCTCTGACTCCCATTTTCAGTAATAATAATGACAGCTAACAGTTTTTGAACACTAGGTCCCATGCTAAGTACTTTATAAGGATTATCTCAGTTTATTTTCCCAGTAGCTCCATACTGAAGATTCTATTGTAAAAACCATCACCATTTTCTAGTTGTGACACCAACTGTATAGCCTGAAAGACCTAAAATATTTACTATTTGGCCATTTTTCAGAAAAAGTTTACTGAACCCTAACCTAAAGTAGTTCTCATTATATTTATCACTAACCTCTAGGGGTTGCCATGAGGATTAAATAAGTTAGAAAGGGCTCACCACATTCCCTAGCACCTACCAGGTGTTCAATTTGTCTGTTTAGGTGGAATGTAACATAGGGTAGCCCCCAAGCTGTGGGTCCTGTTCTTAGATCTTGGGAATCCTGTCTGGAAAGTTTTTCCTTTTGATTTTTAGACTTTTCCCTCCTCTATCCAGAAAAGGATATCTCCCAATCGGGCAGAACTTAAGGCAGTGTTACTCTGCCAATTACCAGCATGAGAATCAGTCTGTGGGCTTGTTGAAAATACAGACCCCGGGACCCGCCTTAGACCATCCCTGGAATTATATACTCAGAGTGGGGTCCAGTTTTCCAGGTTATTACACTAAAGCTTGAAAAACATAGATCTATGGTAAATCTATAAATAAATGCAATGGTTTAAAGCCACAAAACTCAAGAGAGGTTTTACCTCTGGGGGGAAGAGGTTTGGGGGACCACACAGAAAACCTTGGATATACAAGGCTTTTTATTTTGTCAGGCTTTTTTCTAGTTATCTTTCATACTCACTCAATCATCTTAAAAACCTGATAAATAAGTATGTACTCTTACTTTTTTTTTTTAAGGCTGAGAAAATGGAGGCACAGAAATTTAAGTATTTTGCCCATGATTCCACAGCTAAGATGACATGTGCTGAGATCCCTACATAATTAGCTGCCTCCAGGGTTCAAGTTCTTAAGCACTTTCTAGTCCTAGGAATGCTGTATTTCTCAAACCGAGTAGGGTATACACACACATTCGAGTTATTATTTATACCTTACATATATACTGTATTATAAATGTCTCATATATGTGAAATATTTCACTTAATACATGGTTTTAAAAATAGCAAAATAAAAACTATAATTGGAAGGAAATCCGTTGTTTAATCAAACTTCACTGGAGCCCCCAAGGCTGGCAGTGGAAGAGAACCCCAAGGGGGGCAGGTGGACCTCTCAGAGCCCCACCTGAAACCCCAGTACTTATTCCTTTTGGGGAGTCACACCAATCTCGGCTGCAATCTCCCCTCAGAGGGAGCTGTCCTCATCCTCACTGCACACGGTGGGATGGGGGTGGGGTGGGGGGTGGGGACGACGACGACATAGGACCAAGTTTCAGTTAGAGCTTGGAGAGTCAAGAGATAACTCTCTAGGCGACAATGGCTCATGGTGCCCAGTGGCGCACACAGAAAAGCGCTAGGCATTGCGCTCGAGGTGCCTGCACGTGCCTTATCCGACTTGATTTCGCAGCCCCATTTCTAGAAGTGAATCCGGGGCTCAGAACAGCCTCATGATTTGTCCTAAGTCCTACAGTCAACTAGCGCTGGGACTTGAACTAGTTACTGTGAACTCTCCAGTGCTCGAGGCTGCCTCCCTAGGGTCCGGAAAGGGGTCATGGGTCACCTACCACACTCAGACTCAGAGAGACTGTCTTTCTCCTGGGGGTCCCCGGACTAATCTCTTGGCTCCTGTTTGCCCTGGCTAAATACTGCCGAGATTCTAAAGGTACTGGATCCTGACTTCTGACTGGGGAGTCCTCTGAGAGGGGCAGGCAGGAGCGAGGGGCGGGGCCAGTCCAACCAGCTCCACCTGGGCTGGGCAGCCCCGGGACTACCCACCTAGCACGAGGATACGGTCCTCCGGCCTCAGCTCCGGCTCTAGGAGGTCACGGAAGGAAGAGAAGTCCCCGAACCACTCGTAGGGAGCAGAGTCGGCAGCGTCCCGGTAGCGCTGGTCCCAGTACTGGACCTCGCGGTACCCACAGTTCTTCTCTGGTAACTCCGGCAGCGGCGCCCAGGCCCCAGGACAGGCCATGATTGCGGCTGCCGGGCCTTGAAGGCAACTGGCCCCCACGTCTGGGCGGGGCTTGGCCGCTTATGTAGCCAATTGGAATGGCTGCATATAGGAGGCGGGGCCCTTGTGTCTCCGCCCAGCACCAGCAGTTGCTCAACATAAACACGTGGAACTTCCGTCCTCTGCTAAGCGCTCTTGGAAGAATCCTCCGGGTAGGAAAATAATATCGTCCAGACCCTGAATCCTCAGGATGCGCTGCTCACTAACTTCTGAGAGCCACACTCATGGTGTCAGACACACTCCGGCTCGTCATTGCCCCTCTCATATCTTCAGTTTGGCTCCTTCCATTAAGAAGTCTGAAAATTAATGAAACATTCATTTCTTCCTAGTTTTGAGCACCCGAAAGGCTCTGGGGGGTGGCGGGAGTAGCGCGGACAGAGGTCTTGCTCTCCAGGAAAGACTGGCATGAACGCAGATATTACCAACATAGGCGAAGTGTTATGCTAGAAGGGGGAGGTGCGGAGGAGGGGGGGGGAGACATGGCGTGGGCAGGAATGTTACTTTTCTGGGCAAACGTTCGATCCACATTAGCTCTTGTGTGCCCAGGGCTAAGTGTGTACTGAGGAGTAAGACTATTTCTGCTCGTATGGAGCATGCAGTCCATCAGGGGAGACATGTGGAAGAAGTAGATTTTAGTGGAGTAAATAAGGACTCCGGCAACTCCAGTCAGCCCTCGGTCCGTTGGGGCACGCGGCGCGGGAAGCGGAACTTAAGTACCAAAGGGTCGGGCTTCCGGGGTAGCGGGCCCGCAAGTGCGGCGCACCTTCAAGATGGCGGCAGGCCTGAGGAAACGCGGCCGGGCAGGTCCCACAGCTCGGGCGGTGGGACTGTGCGGGCAGTGGCTGCGGCGCGCCTGGCAAGAGCGGCGCCTACTGCTGCTGGAACCGCGCTATACGCTGAAGGTGGCCGCCTGCCTCTGCCTGGCGGAGGTGGGCATCACCTTCTGGGTCATTCACAGGGTGGCATGTGAGTGCGCCGAGGGGGAGAGGAGGGTGGGAAGGGGGACCGAACCCCCGACCAAAACTGGGACCCACCTTCGGAGCTCAGACTTAGACCCCTGATCCACTCAGTCATCAGTTGCAGACTCGTATCTTTTACCCAAATCCTGCTCCGCGGAGAGCCAAACCCGACCTTAATCCCTCCCAGAAAACCTGGGTCCAAGTTAATGGCTGCTGCTGCTGTTTGTCTCTGTGGCTTTGGACACGTCAGTTCCCTTGCTGGGTCTCAATCTTCTCATCTGTTCAATTCTGAGGTCTGGAAGTCTCTTCTCAGTGATGGCATTTTCTGACGGGTTGAGTCTGTTTGGCATTATTGGTGACTCCTCTCCAGGCTGAAAACACTGGACTTAAGGCTTACTTGCTAAAGACCATTAATTCAGTACATATTTATTGAGTGCTTATTATAAGGCTTACACTATGCAAGGTACCAAGAGTATAGTAGTGAAAAAGACACATTTCCTACTTACGTGTGTGGGCCTGGACAAAGATAACAGAAGATTACAACACATCATATTCATCATGATGGTGGTAGACAGGGTGCTATAAAGGACATAGGAGGGCACTTAATTCAGACTTGAGGAGTCAGAGAAGGCTTCCGAGAGAGTCCTCCTCGAAAGATAAGAGCTAGTTCCTTGAGGAAGGAGACAAAAGGGGTGTGTGTGAGGGGGAAGAGTACTCTAGGCAGAGAGAATCCTGTATCAAAGAGCTCCTGTCAAAAGAGAAAGTCTGTTTCCTTTGAGGAACTGAAAGAATTTTTTCAGAGCTGGAACACAAATCAAGTGAGGGTAGTACTAAGAGATGAGATTGCAGAAGTCGAGACAAGATCGTGAAGGAATCTGTAAGCTGTGTTAAGGAGATAGTTAGCATGGTGGTTAAGAATTTAGAGCTCCATGTGTTCCAGTCTCAACTCTACCCTTCCTAGCTCAGTGTTCTTGAGCTAGTCACTTAACCTTATTAATTCATAATTTCATCTTCTAAAAATGGGAAGAATAGAATTTGGTCTTTATCTTAAGAGCCTTGGGGAATCATTGAAGAGTTTTAAGCAGAGAAATGTGATATGATTTCTATTATAGGATGAGCTCTCCGGTTACAGGGTGGAAAATATATTGTAGTGGGGTGAAAGTGGAAGCTGGGAGCCTAGTTAGGGAGCTTTTGCACCATTGTGGCTAGAGATTATGTGAGGCCCAAATTTGAGTGCATGATAGCAGAGAAGGATGAGATAGTAGAGATATTTAGGATAAAGAATAGGCAGGGGACTTCCCTGATGGCACAGTGGTTGAGAGTCCACCTGCCGATGCAGGGGACACGGGTTCATGCCCCAGTCCGGGAAGATCCCACATGCTGCAGAGAGGCTAGGCCCGTGAGCCATGGCCACTGACCTGTGCGTCCGGAGCCTGTGCTTCGCAACGGGAGAGGCCACAACAGTGAGAGGCCCGCGTACCGCAAAAAAAAAAAAAAAAAAAAAAGAATAGGCAGAACTTGGTGACTGGGGGTTGGAAATGAAAGAGAAGGAAGTATCAAAGGTGTTTCCCAGGTTTGTGACTTGAGCAGCTGAGAGGTTAATGGTACCATTCATGGAACCCAGGAAGGGGAGCAGATTTGGAGTGGAAGGTTATGAGTTCCATTACAGACATGTTTGAGTTTGAGATACCTGGGTTCACCCAGAGAATGTCAGATAGGCCTTTAGAGAAGGGGTTATGATAGAAGTCCCGAGGATGAGCTGGAACTCTGTGCTTTGATGGGCTGAGGCAGAGAAATTCTGAACCTGGAAGTAACCACACCCTCCTGTCGTTTTCCAGATACAGAGATTGATTGGAAAGCCTACATGGCTGAGGTGGAGGGCGTCATCAATGGCACCTATGACTATACTCAACTGCGGGGTGACACTGGACCTCTTGTGTGAGTGGGGATCGGCTGTTCAGTGAGGATGGGAGGGGCTGGCTGGATGCCAGGCCGGATAGCTTGACCCAGACTCACGTTCTTTCTCCTCTTCCAGGTACCCAGCTGGCTTTGTGTACATCTTCATGGGGCTATACTATGCCACTGGCCGGGGCACTGACATCCGCATGGCCCAGCACATCTTCGCTGTGCTCTACCTGGCCACTTTGCTGCTTGTCTTCTTGATTTACCACCAGACCTGCAAGGTGAGTCCTCACTACCAGGAACAGGGGGCCCCAAACTGGGAGGGCTGGGGAGTGGGGATGGTTCAGGGTTGGTGAGCTGACCTTTTTCCCCACTGTGCCCACCTCTCAGGTACCTCCCTTCGTCTTTTTCTTCATGTGCTGTGCCTCTTACCGTGTCCACTCCATCTTTGTGCTGCGGCTCTTCAACGATCCAGTGGCCATGGTGCTGCTCTTCCTCAGTATCAACCTCCTGCTGGCCCAGCGCTGGAGCTGGGGCTGCTGCTGTTTCAGGTCAACACCCCTCCCTTCTGGCCCCCTCTTTCATTTTCTGTATTCCATCACTTTCTCCCCAATTTTCTGCAGCAGAGGAAGTAAGGGAGTGGCCAGTGTAGGTCAGTTAGGGCCATACTAGGTGAGTCCAGGATGTGTAGAAAGTCTTCACCCCCAGGCCCCCTACACACACACCCTCTTCCCATCCTCTGTTTCCTCCAGACAGCATCTGCTGTTGGAGTTGGTCATTGCACTTTCTAAATACTCAACATATATTTGCTCACTCAGTCTGGGTGTAGAGACAAGGTATGAGCACCCTACTCCCAGCCTCCTCCCAGGCTTCCTTATCCTCCCTCCAGCAGTTCTGAGTGTGAGTGCTCACCCTCTGCCTGGAGCTTGCTGGCAGGGGAGGGGAGGAGTTGCTGTGGTGATGGTGGGCTGTACATCTTTGGGTGGGGTGCATGGCCCTGGAGCTGATCTCCACTCTCCTCTCCCCTATCCACTGCAGCCTGGCAGTCTCTGTGAAGATGAATGTGCTGCTCTTCGCCCCTGGGTTACTCTTCCTTCTCCTCAGGCAATTTGGCCTCCGTGGGGCCCTCCCCAAGCTGGGCATCTGTGCTGTCCTTCAGGTATTCCCTCCTTACCCTTTCCCCTTTCTAATGAAGTGGAGGCCACTCTGTCTGGCCTCCTTTCATCCTTGAGACTTCCTCAAAGACAAGAGACAGAGTTTTGGAGTTGATTCTGATCTGGGCAGCCACCACCTCTAGGCTTCGGTTTCTTTAGCTGTCAAACAAGGGTGTTGAACTACACGGTCTCTGAGTCTTTCTAACTCTGCGCATTTATGACTTGGTGAATCCAAACTTAAAGCACTGTTATTACCTGCTTCTTTGGCCCAAGGCTCTTGTCTGGGTGGGTGGGCCGGCTTTCTTGCTATTCCTGGTGGGAGTTAGGGATCCTCTGAGACCTATACCCTGTTCCCCCTCCTCTCAGTGATTAGCATGAGGCTGAGGGTGAGCCTGGGCAGCTCTGTTGACATCACACCCATCCTCAGGTGGTGCTGGGGCTACCCTTCCTGCTGGAGAACCCCGTCGGCTATGTATCCCGCTCCTTTGACCTTGGCCGCCAGTTTCTCTTCCACTGGACAGTGAACTGGCGCTTCCTCCCCGAGGCCCTCTTCCTGCATCGTGCCTTCCACCTGGCACTTTTGACTGCCCACCTCACCCTGCTCTTGCTCTTTGCCCTCTGCAGGTGGCACAGGTGAGAAAGGGGAGCAATTTCATGAGCAGACATGGGGGAAGGAGTGAAGGGCCTAGGCCTTAGGGGCTGCATGGGGAGATGTTGAGCTCCGCTTGGCCCACACTGGGGGCTTGATAAATATCTCAATGGCTTCTCCCCAGGACAGGGGAAAGTATCCTGTCACTGCTGAAGGATCCCTCCAAAAGGAAGGTTCCACTCCAGCCCCTCACACCCAACCATATCCTTTAAATCATGGGAAGGTAAGTCTTGCCCTCTCCAGCTGAAGTTGGGGTCCTTGTCAACTAGCCCTGCATGGCTGGTGACCTGGGAGAGGGAAAAGGAGTTAGCAGTAATAGCTACAGGGCCCATTCATAGAGCTCTTACCAATACTGTGCTGAGCACTTTACATATTTAAGCATTTTTTATTCTTTGTTCTAAATATTATTGAGTTACCATTATGAGTGCTCACTCTCTGCCTGGTGCTGCCCTAAGAGGTTTACATACATTCTAACGTTTAAAGCTCACAAGAGACTCTGTTTTATCCTCACTTTACAGATTTTAAAGATGGGAAAATTAGGGCTTTAAGAAGTTAAGTAATTTGCCAAGGTCACATAGCTAGTAAGTGATGCCTCGTTAGGCGTTAGGGCTCTAGATATTACTGCCTCCACATCAGACTGAGGAATAGGTCCAGAGAGGTTAAGAAACTTGCCCAAAGGTATGCATCTAGGAACAGCAGAGCCAAGGGGCTCTCTGACCCCAAAACTTTTGTCCCTCTGCTTTGAAACCTCCCTACCCCTTCTGCTCCTGCCCTTGGCCTTGACCACTGTATACAGATTGTTTCTGCCCTCTTCACCTCCAACTTCATTGGCATCTGCTTCAGCCGCTCCCTTCACTACCAGTTCTACGTCTGGTATTTCCACACACTGCCCTACCTCCTGTGGGCCACGCCTGCACGCTGGCTCACACACCTGCTCAGGTACCAGCTGGGACAACCTGGGGGCGTGGGAAGGGGTAGGGAGCTCCTCATCCCAAGACTGTGACCACGGAGGGGCAGGGGGTGAGCTGAAGTGCTGCAGGCCTAGAACCTGGACGGACCTGGAGCTTATTTCTCACCTCCAGGTTGCTGGTGCTGGGGCTCATTGAGCTCTCCTGGAACACATACCCATCCACGTCCTGCAGCTCTGGTGCCCTGCACATGTGCCATGCTGTCATCCTGCTGCAGCTCTGGCTGGGCCCCCAGCCTTTCCCCAAGAGCATCCAGCACAGCAAGAAAGCCCACTGAGATCCATCGCTTCCCCTCCAGTCTATTCTCAGGACCCTGGATGGGGATGGACTGTGTGCCCTTCCCAATAAACTTTATGAAGTCCACTTCTGTGCAGCCTACATGGAGGTACCTGGACCAAGCTGTGAGGGACAGGCACGCAGCAGATAAAGAACTCATTCAGACAGTCCTAAGAGGCACTTTATTGCGTAGGATTTAGGGACTGTGGCTCTCTCCCCTTCTACTGCACTGCACAGAGCTCAGAGGGGAAGGGGCATGGGGCGGAAGGAGCAGGAGAGAGCACAGGCAGGCACTTTTTGTGGGGCAAGAGGATTTTGTGAAGGGAATGAGAAGCAGTAGGGGCGGACTGTCACCAGCCCACCCCTTCCCAGCACCAAGAGGCCGGCTCTGGGTGGCAGTGACTTGAGTTTGTTGGGGGGGTGCCAGCCAGAGCAACCGGTGACCCTCACATGTTTGCTGGGCTGTAGCACAGCAGGTGCAGCTGCAGGTTCTGGTCCCAGTGGCGCAGCAGCAGGAAGAGACCCCGGGCTGCGGCCTTGAGGTTGGCCAGGTCAAGGCCGTCGGGCAGGTGCTGGGCCCGCAGCCAACAGTCAGCCTTAGCTGCCGCCAGTTCCCACTCGCCGAAGGCCGCGGCACAGCGGTGCTCCAACCACGCAAGTGCCACAGCAGTGGCCCAAGTCCGGCCCCGCAGGTCGGCACCACCAGGCCCTTCTGCCCCCTCCGAGGCCTCGGTGTCTGAGCCCCGGCCACTGTCCACCTGGCCTGGACCCTCGGAGCCCGAGCTGGGGGATGGGCTGCAAGAGGCCGTGGCACTGTCACCCTGGCCAGCACCATGGCCTAGAAGTGCCCAGGGAGAGGAGGCCGAGGTAGGGCTAAGGCTGGTGCGATGCGCAGCGAAGGGCGAGGCGCGGCACAGGCGCTCCCGCGAGATGCGCACTGCTGCGCAGAAGGGTGCGTCTAGGCGGAAGGAGCCAGGTGCCTCCTGCAAGCGCACCTGAGGAGAGAGGAGGTGGGGGGAGAATCGAGCTGAGACAGCGCCCTGGCCCTGGCAGCGCCACCCTCCACCTCCCGAGTCCTCACCAAGGGCAGGTAGTCATGGTTGCTGCCTTCACTGTTGCTGTCACTGGCTTGGCCCGTGTTGGGGCTGCAGAGTCTATGGCTGTCTGGGCCTCTGGCCTTCTGACGGCCCAGGCTGAGCCGAGAGGGAGGCTCGGGGGGCAGACGATGAGGACCTCTGATGGGGGCTGCGCGGTCCCCCAAAGCAGAACTGGAGTTGCCAATTTGGTCCGGCTCCCAGCCGCCTGCCAGAGAGCCTCCCTTAAGTCCTGAACTGGAGCCATTCAGTGGTGGTCCCTAAGCCTGGTTGGTCCCTACCATTTACCCAAATTTGAGTGTTACCTTTAGAGTGGACGGCTGTGGGCAGAGGAGCTGCATCTAGATGACCTTGAGAGGCAGGAGGGGTGCCTGGGGGTTCGGCTGGCTCTGCAGGGGCACAGAAGACAGGGGTGAGGTATGTCTCAGAGGGTGGCCAGTGAGATGGGAACCCGCACCTGGGAGGTCACCTGGAAGGGACCTTACCTACCTGAGCTGTGCACCTGCAGGGCTGAAGGTAGGACCTCTCTGGTGGTAGCATCCACAGCTACAGGGCAGGTGAAGCAGGAAGGGGCAGAGCTGACCTTGCTTGTCTGAAGGGCTCGGAGCCAGGGCCTCCGGGCATGACCTGCAAAACCAAGGGGCCGGGCTTCCCTGGTGGCGCAGTGGTTTAAAATCTGCCTGCCAATGCAGGGGACATGGGTTCGAGCCCTGGTCCGGGAAGATCCCACATGCCGCGGAGCAACTAGGCCCGTGAGCCACAATTACTGAGCCTGCGCATCTGGAGCTTGTGCTCTGCAGCAAGAGAGGCCACGATAGTGAGAGGCCCGCGCACCGCGATGAAGAGTGGCCCCCACTTGCCGCAACTAGGGAAAGCCCTCGCACAGAAACGAAGACCCAACACAGCCATAAATAAATAAAATTTAAAAAAACAAAAAACAAAAAAACAAACCAAGGGGCCACATGTTGACTGGGAGGGGGGTGTGCTCCCAGCACCCACTCTCTACAAAGGGCTTCACAGAAAAAATCTTAGTGCTCCCATAGCTTCTCCCTCTGTACACATTTTTGGGGTTTTTTGGCCGTGCCTCCAGGCTTGCGGGATCTTAGTAGTTCCCCGACCAAGGATTGGACCTGGGCCCCAGCAGTGAAAGCACCGAGTTCTAACCACTGGACCACCAGGGAATTCCCAGCCTTCTGTCCACTTTTGAACAGAGTGGAGTTCCTTCTTGGGGTCAGCTCAGACTCCTCAGCTTTGACTGACAAGAAGTGGTTAGGCTGAACACTCAACCACATTGTACCAGGACTAGGCCCCCAGTCACCTACAAATTCAACATCCTGGATACAGCCCAGAGGAGGCATTGACTGTGGTACCTTTTCCATCCGCTCATTTCAGCACTGCCCAACAGAACTTCCTGCAATGATGGAAATGTTCTACATCTGCATGATCCAGTATAGTAGCCACTAGTCCCATGCGCCTATTAAGCATTTGAAGTGTGGCTAGTGCAACTGAAGAACTGACATTTTAACTTTATTTAATTTTAATAATCTTCCTAAATGACAGATTTGTTTTTATGTTATGGGCACTGTGAATCATTACAAGATGAAATTCCCTCTCTGTTGGCTGCTAGGAAGCTTGCCAGTTTGGGGTCCCATGCTTGCAAGGGCACAAAACCTCATGGTGTGCATCTTTGATATAATCTCATTCTCTGCTTCCTTTTATTATCCCTTTTTTCCCCATTGCCCTGCTAATTTTTTTTTTCTTAACAATGTGGGTGAGCCACCTCAAATCACTTGTGAGCAAGGTGAGGTGCCTATGCCTCTGCCACTCTCTGTCCCATACAGGCTCCTTGAGCCCTGACTGGGGCCACCAGCAACTCACCCCGGTCAGCCCTGGTCTCGCCCCGTCCTCGGAGAGCCAGCTGCTCGTTGTCCCGGACCACAGAAGCCGCTGTCAGTCGATGGAGTGCTTGGTCCCAAGCATTTCCGCTTTCAGGGGGTGACGGAGGCAGTGAGCCAGCATCCCTAGGTCCCCACAGCATCTCCAGCCCAACGCCCACCTCCCAGCTCATAGGCTGCTCCCCGCACAGGGCCCGGATCACCACATGGCAGCGCGGAGGCTGGGGATGCAGTGGTATTGCTGGAGGGGCCAACTCCCCACTGGGGGGAACAGCCGTGAACAAGAAGGGTGGTTCCATCAACATGTCCCAGTCCATGGGGGCTGGGGAGAGCAGGTTTCCTGGGGAGAGACGATGGTAGGAGCAGGGGCAGTGGGGCGCCCTGGGCTCCACCTCCCCAAGGTTTACTTGGTGTCAGAACCCGACTCCCCATAACCCTTACCTGAGTCATCCAGGCCCTGTCCCAGCAGCTGCCCTGGCTCAGGGCCTGGCCCATCTGGTGCTACACCCAGAGAGGGGTGCCGGAGATGGCCAGGGACTGAGTTCACCCGGTCTGGGGGTGATGAGAGGCTTCGGCCAGTTAGAGCTGCTCTGCGTCGACGGCCCAGCACCTCAGCACTGAAGGCCCCAGTCTGCATGTGTGAAGGTGGTGGGGGGTCCAATGGTCAAGGAATGCAGAGCTCCTGGCCATCAGACATACATACACAGCTGGCCACATGCCCCTTTGTCTGGAACCCTGGATGGCTGCTCACCACCCTTAGGGGTGAGGCCAGACTCCTGGCGCCTGACCCCCTTCCCATCGTCATCTCACTCCATGCCTATGTCTCAGTTGAGGTTATTGCTTGTCTGTTTTTATTCATGTCTTCTCCCATTTTGCCTAGCTAACTTCTTATTCTTCCAGAGGTGCCTCTTGCTTTCCTGACTCCCTCAGACAGGGTTAGTCACCTTGACTCTGAACCCCCATAAAGCCACATCCCTGTGCTCATCAATGTATGTTGCATGGTATCATCACTATACATTATACCATCATTACCCATCTATTTCTTCAGGTAGACTTAATGGTAACCACTGCACAATTTATGGCATACAGCCAACGGTCAATAAATATTTGCTGGATACATGGTAGATGGATGTGGATTGAATCTCACCTTGACTGGAGCCAGTGGGGGTGGAGGCAGGGGGCAGGAGTGGGAGCCAGCAGATTCTCCCCAGGCCAGGCTGCGGCAGCCCTGCTGAGAAGGGGGATCCAGGGGAGCACTGCCTTCGGGGGACCCAGGGCCCTGGGAGACGGGGGACTCGCTGCTGCCTGTGGAGCCTGGGCCTGGCTCTGGGCTGGCAGAGCAGTGGGTAAGCACATACTGCTCCCGGATGTACGAGGACTGGAAGATGCGGCGCCATATGGCTGTGTCAGAAGAGGGGTTAGGTCCAGGGTCCGTGACTGGGTCTGTCAGAGCATCAGTACCTATTGGGAGGCAGGAGAATAGATCCCAGCCCTGGCCCCTCCCACTGCCCACTCCTCCTCCAACACACATACACTCAGGCACTCACTCCGATCTGAGTCCCCAGCAGCCCACGGGCTGGACAGCTCTGCTGACACAGTGCCTGTTCCCAGTGGCTCTGAGGTGCCAGTGGGCTCAGTGCCAGGGCTGGTGGCAGATGGTGCTTCCTCTGGGGATGGGAACACGGAGCTGCCCAAGCTCTGCCAGCCAGGCTCTTGGCCCTGGAGAGGGATAGACGTTGGGGGAAAAAAACCAACAACTGATTATAGTTATACACTACCTCTTTCCAAACAGGATTTAAGATGACTCACTGCAAGAGGCGATAAAGATAATAAACCAGAAGTGAAAGCCCAGTACTAAGGAAAGAGGAAGCATACATGCTGACCATAGGGTTACTAGAGATGCTGTGGCTGAGCTTCAGGTTTGGCCCTGAGCTTCCTGGCAGCCAGGGAAAAAGACAAACAGTCCATTATACAGCTCTCCTGATCAAAAAGTAGGAAGCATGCTTGGTTCTAGAGAGATAAAGCTTTTCATAATAAAAATAACAATCATTTATCCAACTCCTCCTATGTGTCAAGTATCCTATCAAGAGCACACATGTTATGACTTCTAATTACAACCTTATGAAAAAAATCAGTACAAGGAAATGGGCTCAGAGAGGTTAAGTGACTTGTCCAAAATC